TTATTGTAATAATATTAGGGATGATCGACCTACTTAGGTCGTACTCTATAAACCTCAAGGGCATTACAACATTTAAAGCTTCACTGGTATCTTCAGAAGTTATCCAAAGGCATTTGCTTAATACAAGTCATGAGGGTATTTAGACCATTATGGTATTTGAGGTAGATTTATTCATTCCAGAGCTTAAGGGTATTCAATCATTATAGGGATTGGGGGTATTTTAGGTCATTTTACACTTCAGGGGTATTTTGGTCATTTTACAGTTCAAGGGTATTTTAGTCTTTTCTTTCTGTTTAGTCTTTCCATTTAATTAAAACTTGTCATTTATTTCAGTCATTTCAAAGAATTCTGACAATAATAGTCTTCCGATAAGTTAGTATTCGGGTGTTTGCTCATAAATCAGAAATTCTAGGTCTAAAGCTTTCTCAAAGTTACAAACTAATTCTAAAAACAATTTTGAACAAATCAAGAATTTAACAGGTGAATTAGTAATTTACCATATTAAATATGAATTCTTACGGTACTTTCACTATCAGGGTCAATTTGGGTAATTTTTATCTCTCAACGGTAATTTTGTAATTTATTAATCAGATAATATCGACATTAAAACTTTTAACGAGGATAAATAAAATTTAGAGATTCAGAGGTCAATTACTTATCTGGATAATCACTGAACTGAAAATTATTTCTTATCATTTTTTTAGTTTCTTATACGTGTAGTCTAAGTCTTATTCAGTTTAATACTTTATATCACATATGGATTGAGTTTATAAATATTAACTACACACGTGATCAAACATAATTACTCATGCATTAACAAATACCAACATGTTCCGTAAAACATACAAATGGTAGTAATGTATTACCTTGATTTTTTTATCTAAATCGATCAAACATTTAAACTCTATTTGATCGCTCTCAACTTGAATCCAACATCCAATAATATCTCGGATACATATCAACAGAAATTGCATCAGAAACAGAGCTTAATTACGAAAAAGGGATCGAATTGAGAGATTCATCAGCGAAAAACAGCTTACCATGTTTGAATTAGGCGAAACAAACCTAAAAAACGGACTCATGATGACAAAAAACATCAGGATAATTGTTCCAAAAAAGTCAACGACCAGTCAACGGTTGATCAACAGCTCGACTCGGCTCAGCGTAGTTCGGTCCAGACCGGCCCAACCGATTTAGATCGGTTCAGCCAGTTAACAGACCCCCTAGTTGACAGACGACGCCCACGCACAAAGAGCAGCGCATGCGGTGGTTCTGGTCGTCGGTTCGGCGTGAAATTTCCAGTCTTGTAGATCGAAACCTTAGAAGTCTTGTGCATGTTTTATTTTACGAAGAAACACGACGGAGTGTGGAATTTTAAAATGTTCAAACTTTTTCCAACGGTGACGGGCGAGTGACAATAACGAAGCAACGACGAGGGGACACCATCGGTTAGGGTTTGTTCACAAAACTTCAAGGAGCATATGGAAGGTGGCGGTGTTTTGAATGGACGTGGGGATCGGTCGAAAACATTGAAAAATCCGAAGGAGATAGCTTGAACTCCGAAGAATCTTTGTGGGGCTTTGTATGACAAACGAAGGGGGTTCTCGAAGTATGGTCGGTTGGGTTTTGGTCGCGAATCGACGACGCATACACCGGTGGTGTCGGTGTTTGTCACCGGCGGTTGAAGGGTAAACAACGAGAGGGGCAACGAGGGCTTGGTTCAGCTGATGGGGGTTTTTGTTTGGGAATTGATCTGATACGTATATAATCAAATAAAATATTTATTAATTTACAACTTAAATAGGAATCTAGTCCAGTGGTAAAGGCATGGTTTGTCATACCTTAGGTTATGAGTTCAACACCTAACCACACCATTTTTTCCTATGGTTAGAATGGATGAGTAAAATTGGTGTTAGGTCCCTGAAATGACTTGGAGTTTACAGAATGACCCCAAATAATCCAAAATTTAGCAATTTGGTCACCAATTTTATTTTAAATGACTTTAAATTTTTTTTATACTTCTCCATTTAATCTTTTAATTAAATTTGGGATGCTACAAAACCAAATATAAATGACTTGAGTAACCCTAAGGTTAGTTACTCGGACTTGGAGGCCCTAACTGTTCATAAACATATATGATGTCTTACATGTGTTGTACATAAATATTAGCTTACTTATACTCAATATGATGTGTGTATATATATATATGCAAACTATTAGTTTTTTTATTAAATTAATATGATTACAAAGTGTATCTTTTCTAAATGATTTTAACAATTTGACAATGAACTTTCAATTACTTCTGTTGTAGTTGTTAGTGCTCGAACCTGGAACACCTAGAAATAACAAACATTCTTTTAACTACTGAGGTAATTTAGTTCATATTCCAAACTATTAATTATATAAACCTGATATATAATACACGTATATTAACTATTATATATAGGAATAAGATTCAATTACAAACTTTATATATGCTACGTATATGCAAACTATTAGTTATGTGTGTGTATATACTCATTATTATAATAAATTGACGCCTTCCAAATGAATTAGTTATAAGAAGTTACTATGAAAATTAAATTATGTATGAGTACAATGATATTTTATCTTTTCCTTATGTCATTGTTATTAGAATATAATTTGATATTTTTTATTTAAAGTTCAAAAAAAATCAAATGATAAAAAATCGTCTGCAATATCATCACTAAGGGTGTTTATGATCAGCTAATTGCACTATTTCATTTAAATGTTCGGTTAACCATTATATCGGTTACTGAATTTTGTTAATTGTAACTTAACAATTAAGAAATTGTTAACCGTCATTAACACTTCGATCACAGGTTAAGTACCTATTACAATTTTTTCAAATACAACACAACATTTTTTTTATAAAATTTATGATAATAGAAACATATATTTAGACATCAAATTTATTTGTAGATACGTTTTTTTATAGAAATATATATATTAAGAGGTATATTCCTTTTTTACAATTTAAAAATCATGTATTTCTTCCATCTATGTTTGATTTAATAAATTGCAATATAAGATAAACATGATAACTAAAAAATAGAGAGGAACTATCTTGATTTTATTTGTAATTCTATTTTATCTAAAAATATAATTTGTTATAATTTATTAACGGTGGCTAAATGATGATTTACCATTTATAAAAAAATTGTAATCATAATTATAATCATGAGTCAATACTTTTAGCAATTTGATTAACCAAAACCATTAATTTTAACGATTTAATTAGTTAACCTATAAAATTTAACAACTACATCGATTAACGGTTACGATTAATGGTTATAATTTAATTTGAACACCTCTAATAAACACAAATCATTGCTTATGATTATCTATTTAAATTAGAAGAAATGAATCATTTATAACCACGGCTACACACGGCATAGATGTCACCATAAACAAGAACCATTGTTTAATGCTAATAATCTCCTTTTTTTTCACTCAATGACATTTTAGATGTTATATTAAAAATACAAAACTAATTATGCTACTTATATTGTTAAATGATAATTTTAATTAGTGTATAATTATAATAATTTAAGTGATAATTAATTTAAAATAATAATAATTTATTCTTGATATAATTTTATCTATAACATAATATTTATAAATTATAAATTATAAATTATTATATGATATAGGAGTTCTCTCCATATGTGTTATAAGATTTTTATTCATGTGCGTGCTATAAGAATTTTATTCATGTACATATCGGTAGAAGTATAGTAATCTCAGATGATAAAATAAAAAAATTATTTAAATAATCGAAAAGAATAATATATAGATAAGTATATGTTTTTAACAGAACAACTGATTAAAAACGAGTTGTGGCCTGCAACTATGCAATTTTCTTAAGACAAATTTTCGCTTACTCCTATGGTGCTTGAGATCGTTGGTTGTCTGTCTCCCAGGATACAACAACTACAGAGATCGCGAACTATTCCTTGCCTTTGTCTATCACCAAAAATAACTAGAGCAGAAGAAAAGAAAATTCTTTTTGAATTGTTTTTGAGTTGTTTTGAATTGTGTTTAACCTAGTAGGTTTACAAGGTATTTAAGTGATTTTACATTGTGAACAATTGAAAATTTTTGACCTAATGAAGTATTAATGAGAATCAAGCAACCAAACAATTTCCAAAATTATTGTTTTGATTAAAAGAACCTTTTAATATTTATTCTTTTAATTCCAAAACAAATTTTGAAAAGATATGCTCTATTTGAAGAAAAATATTTTACATTTGTGTAAAAATATCCGCAAGGCCACAAAGAGCCCACTACAGCAAAACAGAGTTTTAGCGGCATTTTTTTGTCTTATAGCGGCATTTTTAAGCGCCGCTAAAAACATTTGCGGCGATAGGAAAAACGTTGCAAGAAGCACCGGCAATACCAGCGCCGCTAAAGTTAGCGGCGTTTGAGAACAAAAAAGGCACAATAGGTCAAGATCTATAGTGGCGTTTTTGGAACAAACGCCGTAAAAGGTCGAGATCTATAGTGGCGTTTTTGGAACAAACGCCGCAAAAGGTCAACATCTATAGCGGCGTTTTTGTAACAAACGCCGCAAAAGGTCAACATATATAGCGGCATTTTTGTAACACACGCCGCAAAAGGTCAGATCTATAGCGGCATTTTTGGAATAAACGCCGTAAAAGGTCGATATATATAGCGGCGTTTTTGGAATAAACGCCGCAAAAGTTGATATCTATAGCGGCGTTTTCGGGAAAAAACGCCGCAAAATGACAGATCTATAGAGGCGTTTTTGGATTCAAACGCCGTTAGTTACCTTTCTTTAGCTAAGATGATTTTGCATATTTCATTTCTGCTCTACATCACCATAATTTAATATCATCTAGCTTTATCTAATTAACAACCATACATTTTAATAAAGACACAAGTTATGCAGAAAAATACTTAACAACAAAATAAATTAAAATTTATAAAAATTAAATGTAATGTAGTTTGACATTGTTCTATAGAATTTAGTCTACGTTCTTTCACTTCCAATTAAAAAATATTGTTCACTAGAATTTAGTCTTCATTGCTCTTTCGTGGGGAAAGGAAGTAAAAAATCCCCAAGCTCCGGTTCACCAAGAAGACTCCTTGCGCGGACTTCTACTTCAACCAAACGCAAACAAGAAGTCTGGAAGATACAAAAATATAAGAAATACTAATAAGAATCAACAGGAAACTTAATATAGAGAAAAAAAGAGAAAACATTTGGCATAGAATCAACCAGCAGAAACACTTGACTTAGTCATTAACACAACAATATAATACGTGATTATAGTAATGCATAACAACATAAGAAACTAGATCTGACATGAACTGTATGTCAATATCCAAATAATGCACTGAAAGAGGTGCAAAACATATAATAGCAGTGCATATTGAGTTAAAAAATTTGCAAAATGGAAAAAACAAGTAAAAGTCGTACGAATTCGAAGTTTCTGAGATCAGGGAAGTTCACAACTACAACAACCATTGCTGCTTCATTTATAGCCACTCGTGTCCATGTTTCTAGACTTCTGTCCTTATTATCTAGCATACCCCTTTCTTCGATATGTGCCACTTAGAGCAAATCATCAGTTGTAATCTGCAGCAATACAATAGCAGAAAGTCATATATTTGCTAAAAGACATTAGGTTAAGGGCATTTATACCTTTTAAACAACACTATCAAACACGATCCTAAAATTTCACATTCAATAAGTAATAATATCTCAATTTCTTTCATCTTATATATACTAACTAAAACCCTCTTAATTTTATAAAATATGTTTTTCTCCAAGTTCCTGCTTCTCTGTTCCGATTAACTATTTTATAAAATATCATTGTGGAGATGAATTATGTTGCTGCCTTGGTAGCCCATCAAGTCCCATCAACTTAGCAACCACAATGGGTGGGTTACGCTTAGACTCCACATCTTTTGACATTTCCTGGGCCAAGAGCATCTTCATGGGTGTTACATTACCTTTCTTGCTTGACAAAGTTCTCCTTAACCCAGATACCATCTGGGTACACAAAAAGAAATAAAACAAGTGAGAATGCAATGTTATTTTTATAATTCAAGTGGAAGATATAGAGACAAACATAATCCCTTTCAGTTTTCTTATAATAATTACTATTGCAGAGACTAAACGCCCAATATTTACCACTTTCTCCTATATCGGATCTCCAAAGGCGGGGCTTAACATCCTTACAACATCAGATTGACTCCTAGAGTGTGAGGACCCTTCCCATCAACCAGCACTATGTTAAAATAGCAAGAACAATAGTCAATGCCAAGGAATTCTTCTCATCTAATTTTGATGCAATCGAGACATGATTGTATAAACCATTATAATAAAAAGAAAAACTCATACTGAAACTGCAAAAGTTGCAGATGAAACCATAAAAAAAGACTACTACATTATCAACAAATTAGGCGGTTCAACCATAGGCTCTTCCACTTTCTCCGCTTCTTCTGGTTTAGGCAGAGGAGGTGGTGAACATTGCTGCACCTCTGGGGTTTTCTTGCACTCAACGACCAACACTTCTTTTGGGTTTTCAATCTGCTTGTCATATCAATCTTTTGTAAGATTAACAGAAAGTAGCAAAAATCAAAACATGAAAAACATGTCATAAAGATGGTAATAGAATATTATATATGAATAATAGCTCAACTGGCAGAATAATGATGAAAAATGGTTGATCATTATAACTAGGTATCTAAATTAACACAAATTCATCATCTTACATATATTACATCTAATTGCATGTATGTAAAGGCATATAAATATATATAAATCATCTTTTAGACCTGATCTTTACGCACAGTTGAAGCCTGTGGAGTTTCACTTACATAATCTTCCATTGCTTGTAGAAAGGATGCAGGGGGGCTTCAACATAAATTTCAAATGAAAATTAGTTTCTTCAACTCATGAGAGTTCAAGGCAAAGCGAATCTATCACAGCATGCACCAAAGTTGAAATTCCCTAACCTGCTCTATCTTAATATGCCAATCGCCACGCCCAATATCAAGTTTTTTACATACTTCATAAAATTCTGAAAGCCCCTCCACCTGCAAATACAAAATGAGTTCTAAATCATCTTCATTTACGCTAGAGACAATATTAGCTGAAAAATCAAATTAGTTCTAAATCAAATTATTATCTTAACAAAGACAAATAATTGATACAACAAAATAATGGCATCAAAATTAATTGTGTTGTAGCTGCTATTTTATCTTTCTGATTTGCCAAATCAGTTGTAAATTTGAAAGAAACTCCACCTCCAGAAACAAGCCCTAGTGGAATTCAATTAAAAAAATTAGTAGAAGAGAGAAAAAATATGAGAATCCCAAGAACAAACAGATTTTAAAACAAATTTGGGGACTTGAAAAATTGAGCTACAAACAGGTATGAAATAACCCAGATATTTATGCCAGAATTTATTATAAGTAGAAAATCGTATGGATGTTTACAGATTACACCTGGGAGATTCAATCACCAAAGCAGTACTGAAGAGATCCTGAAATCATCGAAACTGCAGCATTTTCCGGTATAAAAATTTCAAGAAACTGCTGCAAAAATGAAAAATCTAAAGCGGAATTAGATAAATTTAAACAAACTCCATAAATCCAAATAAGCCCGAGCTTAGAATTTCGATATGAAAAGCCTTCTCTAGAGATTGAGAGAAAACAACAAGGGTGGTGCACATTTACGACGTCCTTGGGCGAGGAATCTTTCTCTAACGGCGATGGGACGGAAGTGTCCAAGGAAGGCAAAGACTGAGACACCATTTTGAAAATCTAAAAGAAAATAAAAAGGAAATTGGATTGTAGAAATAGAAGGGGTAAGTTAGGGTTAGTAGAGGAAATGAAGAGAGTGAAGGAATTGGGAGCAAGTGACTCGGCGAGTTAGGCGAGGTCACCAACTCAGACTCACGGGAGGCAGAGCGCGGAGAGAGGTGCAGTAGCAGTGGTGGTGAAGCAGGAAATCTGAATTCAGTGGTGGTGAAGTAGAGAAGAAAGAGAGAATATGAAACATTTTTATTTTTCAGAATGGGAGGGAGCGGGAAGGAAAAAAATAGGTGAAGGGGAAAACATGAAAAAGGGCGCTGGACTTATGAACTTTAAACTTTAGCGGTATTTTTAAACACAAACGCCACTAAAGTACGAGTCTATAGCGGCGTTTTAAAATATAAACGCCACTAAAATACAAGTCTATAGCGGCGTTTGTATAAAAACGCCATTAGAGTATGAGTCTATAGCGGCGTTTGTATAAAAACGCCACTAAAGTACTACTCTATTGCAGCGTTTGTTGAAAAACGCCACTATAGATGAATCTATTGTGGCGTTTTTATATAAACGCTGCTAAAGTACTACTCTGTCACGACGTTTGTTAAAAAACGCCACTACTGATGAACCTATTGCGGCGTTTGTATAAAAACGCCGCTAAAGTTACCATTTTGTGGCGTTTGGAGTTAAAACGCCGCTATATGCTTAAAGTTAGTGGCGTTTACTCTCAAAACGCCGCTGTAAAACAGTTTTGCTGTAGTGGCCCAACCGGTTCAAACATTAACGTTACACACATTGTGCACATATGCACATATACGAACCAACAATTAGTACCACATTTTACTCAACAACATTTAGATCAATTTCTAATTCAAAACTCCAAGATTATGAAATTCTTTCCAACACATATATGTCTAATTATTATTAAAATCATAAATAATATTTTAATATAGATGTTATTGAATAATTTAGTTTCATGTGTATATATGTCTAATTATTTTATTGAGGTCTAAAATAAATTTTTAATTTAACATAAAATTTATATATTTATTTCAGTCTTTACCTGTGTTAGAAATGCAAATATTGGGTTTATTCCATAAACAATTTTATTTATCAAATATGAAAATAAATAAATGTGTTTATTTTAAATGTGTATAATTGAACTAAAATAAATTTTTATGTATTGAATTAAAATTAAAATTTCAGGTAAGGAATTATATTAAATCAAACTTCATGTATCACATTATATATTTGATCAGAATTTATGCATAATTTTGACATTTATACCAAAATTTTATTAATAAAAGATATATAATATTTTATATAATTCATTGTAGTGAATAAACTATAATTTAAATCTTCTGAATTAAAAATTTAAGTTATTACACGTGATTTTCATATATTAATATAAAATATTATATTAAAAATTTTAATCCAGAATTCAAAATCAATAGTATATTCTAATTTATTATCATCACCATCAATCAAAGTTCGATCGCTGGTTGGTTTAAATGGACCGATTTAAATAATAATTGTATACATTTATATATTAAATTATATAAATATTATAAACTGAAATTTCATGAATTATAAAAAAAAGTAAAATGATAAATACAATTTTAAAAATTTTAACAATATTATTATTTATGTTTTAAGGGTTTTTTTTCTATAAGAAAGAGTAGAAGTTGTCTAATATTGAAACCAATAAAATCTAACGTTAACTAAAATTAAAATATTACTCTTGTTAATATGTTACAAACTTTATTGATTACGGTTTATAATAAATTGTTTTTACTTTTTTTAAATAATCCGGGTGATTATAAAATTATATCTATTTAGAATTTTTCCTAATAATTAATAACATATATATATATTTTACAGACGCAATTGCTCAAATTCAAAATCTCTAGAGAACAGTACTCTCCTTGATTGCCTATTATACTTTGAATTTATTTATGATTTCCTGGTTAGTTTGTTGTCAAAAATCAAAACCCCATGGCCCATGTGGTGTTGTAGTAAGATGGGAAAAAAAACTGAGTATAGAAACCATGATAAAAAATGATGTCTCCATTGAATCAATTTCTTACGAGATAAAGATTGGGACAGCGAAATATACCCTATTTTCAATTCCTTGTCAAAATCAGAGCATTGGAATACATAATTTGGGTGTCTCTCGTGTCTTTTCTATTCGATTTGGCCAATTATTGAGAGGTTTTGTATCAACTACGAATCCTATCCTTTTCAAGTATCATGGTTTCAAAAGGAATTGAATTAATTTTTAAAAAATAAAACTAGATGTCGCAACCGTCTTTCGGTTGGGCCCCTAAAATTGGGCTTCGACTTGAAAAATGTGTATTGGAGTCGCCACCGACCACTTTAAAACGAATTTAGGTGGGTCGGACACCATCTTACCTGATCTGCGTTGTACCAGAAATGTGTTGGGTTCGGGAGTCGGTTACGGCCAAGGAAGGATTAGCACCCTTGAACTGCCCTTTCGGTACCAATTAATTTGTCGGTTGTCTTTAATTGCGAAAATTGAAAAATTTAAATTTAAATTTGAAAATCTGATTCTTGTTACTTACCTTTGACCGATTAAAATTTCTCTGAAGAAGATAAAAAATGTTAGAAAAAAAAAATAAATCAAATAATAAAAAAGAAAAAAAAAATCAAAATGAAAACAAAAGAAAAAGGAAAAAAAATTAAATAAGGAAAAAATAATAAGTAAAACAAAATGATAAATAGAAATTAGATTTAAAAAAAAATAAAAAAAATTGATGATTTAAAAAGAAAATAGCAAATGAATAAAGGGAAAAAAATTAAAATTTGAAATCAATAAAAATAATATAATGACGAAATAAAACCTAGAGGATCAAATTGAGATCGATGAAATTAATGGACTAGATTGGTATTAAATGAACTACAAAAGAAGAAATAAAAAGTTAGGTGCCAATTAGAAAATATATAAATATAAGTAGGGACTGATTGAATAATCGAAAATTCAGAGGCCAAATTGCATACAGTGACCAGATTGTAAAACGATTCAAAGTTTGAGGGATGGCGGAGAAGATTTAAAAATCATGTAATTTCACTATGGTCCTCGGTATATAAATACCCAAAAACCCTTCTTCCTCCCTCATTCTCACCATTTCTCAAAACTGGTAACTCTCTCAAAGCTCCTCCCTCCGGCCGTCCTCTCTGATGGAGATCCCTCGTCAGTCACAGCCTCGGCCGTCGCTCGCGATGGCCGGTAAAACCTAGCCCTTAGCAAAATACTCCCCTCGACCCAGTACACCAAAATCCAAGACCCAAAACACCAAAAGCAACCCCTGTTGGCGTAGATCTAACGAAAACCCTTTCGGGTTTTACCTTTCCGGTGACTTCTCGCTTTTCCGATGGCCTCTTTGATACGTGCTCCGATGTTTTTTCTTTTGCTCTGCTTTTGGTTTTGGCTTGTTGTGTTCAATGATTTACTGTTTATTGATTTTCTTTGGGTTCTCTGTTCGGTTGTTGGTGTGTTTGGCTATCTTGTTTGTGGTGTTTGGCTTACTATTTGTTTTCTCTGTTGACGGCTTTGTGATGGCTCGGTTTGTTCGACCGTGGTGGTCTATTTCACTGTGTTCTCAGTTTTTGGTTGTGATGCCTCGTGGGTTCTCCCTCGGTTCTGGGTTCTCTGATGATCCCCTCCTCCTTCGTCGTGGGTACTGTTGTGTATTTATACAGTCCCGATGGGGGCTGTTTCCGGCTATCTTGGGGTCGATCCCGGATTTTCCGGGGTTCTTGTTACGGGCTGTTGTGATCCCTTGTTCCCCGCCGGCCGCCTCGGGATGGTTCAGTCCCGTTGGTGGCCGGGAAGTGCGCTGGGCACTGACTGTGTCGCTCCCTTCCTTGCGGCGCTGATGACAAACATTGGAAACCCTAGCGTGGAATCCGGGCTGGGTCAGGCCCGTTCGGTGGACTAGACTTGGACTGTTATTGGACATGGACCCTGCACAAAAATAAATGAAAAATAAATAAATTAAAAATAAAAATAAATAATAATAATATATATATATAAACGTTTTCAAAAACATATAATATATAAATTTTTAAAATGTTTTTTTAAAAAAACTATATATTATATATATTTTCAAAATGGTTTTTTAAAAATTATATATTATATAAATGTTTTCATAACGTTTTCAAAAGTATATATTATATATATTTTAAAACGTTTTCAAAAACTATATATTATATAATTTTCAAAAAATATTTTCAAAATGGTTTTTAAAAATTATATATTATATAAATGTTTTCATAACGTTTTCAAAAGTATATATTATATATATTTTAAAAACGTTTTCAAAAACTATGTATTATATAATTTTCAAAAATATTTTAAAAACTATATAATATACATATTTTCAAAAATGTTTTAAACTATATATTATATATGTATTTTCAAAAACAATTTGCAAACTGTATAATATATATGTGTATATATGTATAAAATAAAAAATATGGACGGAAATTAGTGTCTACAGCTGCCCCTCTTTGTCCTTTTTCGTGGAACGAAAAATAGGACAAAGATAAAAAGACACAAATTTTCGTTCAGTGGGGTTGAAGAAAAACCCCCTGTCGGATTGAGCTGCGGATGACCCCTCCGTCGTGAAGTCAAGTCAATCTTGACATGATATGGAATTGAATCGGAATGCGACTTCTTGTTGCCCAATTGTAGTCAACCTCGGTCTTTTCCTCAGTTTAAGGACCTTGGTTAAAAATTCGGCTGGAAAATATTTCTTTGACTTCACCATCTGGTTTGACAAGCCCTCGAGCTGAATAAAATCGAACTCGAAAAGTCTTTGTTGACAAATAGCTTTTCTCGACTTAAGCTATGTTGCTGGAAAACGATTTTTTATCGCTGAGGCACAGTTAACCCAAGTCTTCTTTTGGACTTGAAAATCTCGATTACATCCGGACAGGAGTGTGATTCTGATTAGAATCGAACTCGATAGTTTTATTGACAGATAGCCCTTCTTGCATTGAGCTATTATGTAAGCTTGATTTGCCTCTAAGTTGAATATAATCGACCTCGGAGGTCTTTAGCAGATAGCCCTTCTCGACTTAAGCTATGCTGCAAATGATGTGCCTTGGAGCTGAGCGGAGTCGAACTCGAAGGTCTTTTGGTCACAGATAACCCTTCTAGCCTTGAGTTATGCTGTAAATGATGTGCCCTCGAAGCTGAGTGTAATCGAACTCGGGGGTCTTTGGCAGATAGCCCTTCTCGACTTAAGCTATGCTGCAAAT